GGCTCGGCCCGGCCCGGCCCGTTTAGGAGGTTCTGAGCTCTTTGGCTCACTAGCTTGCAGCTATTTTGCTAACAGACACACACAGGCGTGTGTAAAAACTATCACTCCACATCTGATAATAAACTAATCCTGTAGAAAAAGAGAAAAAATGGACTGAATCGAATGTTTCCTGATCTGTTTCCTGGTGTTTACACTTCCCCACGGAGCCATTTGTTGTCCTGTTTACTGTTTACAGTACGAACAAACAAACAGGGGCGATAAAGCTTTTATCACCAGCAGCAGCGTTCTGTTGTCACCCCTGGATCTGAGGCCCAATTAGCAACGATGTGTTAATGATGACCAAACACCAAAGATTGGAGGGGAGCTCAGAGTTTTAAAGACTTGTATGCAGTTCATGTTTTTGATGCAGAGTTAAAATTTAGTGTGGTGGTAGCCGAGAGTCACTCCCAGCACATACTATGAGCTCTACAACTTGTTAGCAAAATATCTTGTTAATTGGGTACTTTAAGGATCTTTGGACAGACAATTTTAAACCAATTTTGGAGCCAAGCTAATTAAAGATGGCCACCACAGCTAATTAACACTGTCCAATGAAAACATGGCTTGGTGTGGTAGTAGCTGAGGGTCATTACAAACACACAGAAAAATCTCGCGTTATTTTCTACAACTTCTTCAGCAAATGATTGCATTTGCGGTGCAGAGCGGCGGGTGACGTGCATTCAGTGGAAAACCACACAAGAGCATTTAGTGAGTTTGTGCACGTTGGACCGAACCGTCTGACGACCATCTCGGAACCACAAAGCACCTGAGAGCAGAACTCAGGTGCAGCAGAAGTTCTGGGACCGGACCGAACCGACTCACCCTGGACGCAGCTTTCCTCTTGTACTTGTTGGCGAAGTCGAACTTCTCCTTGATCTCGTCCAGGAGCTGCTCCAGGCGGCACCGCTCCTCTTTGCCCGTGTAATCCTGGCCCAGGAGGATGTACGCCCTCCAGTTGGCCGAGTCGAACCCCCAGTGGCAAGTCCGGTTCTCCTGCGCCTTGTGGCCGTGCACCACGAACTTGTGCGTCGGGTACATGAGTCTGCAGTCCGCGCACTGGATGCACGCGGCGCTCGGGCTCGTGTACAGCTCCGGCACGAACAAGCCCTTGCACTTGCCGAAGCACTCGTGGTAGACCCTGAAGCTGCGCTCGGTCAGCTGCAGCTCCAGCGCCCCGGCGGAGCCCGGGTCCTTCCCGCAGCGCCCCGGCGGGAAGGCGCCGCCGTAGATCAGGGCGTTGCAGAGCCGCTCCGAGTCCGTCTTGGTGATGAGGCCGCAGGACGGCGCGGAGAAGGGCAGGATCCCCATGACTTTCAGGATCTCCAGCTGATCCGCCGTGCACCGCGAGCAGTAGACGTGCAGCTCGTCGCACACCGAGTTGATCTGCTGCAGGCTGAAGTCCCGCAGCACCGTGTTGAGGATCTGCGGCAGGCACAGCCGCTTCTCCCCGCCGACCACGAAGCAGGAGATGGTCTCCCCCTCCAGCACCGTCTCGCAGCGCTCCGTGGAGCGGTCGGAGGGGATGAAGAGCGGGCCGGGCATGACGGGCGGCGGCAGGTGCTGCGGCTGCAGGACGGGCTCGGGCTCCTTGCCGTCCTTCTTGAAGAGGAGCTCGTGCTGCCAGCGCGCGGAGAAGGCCGCCGGTCCGCCCAGGGAGCTCATGGAGCTGATGTGGAACTGCTTCAGGGTCTGCTGCAGTCCCGGGTGAGGCTGGAAGCGACTTATAGCCTCCATGTTTCTCCGGAAACTTTGGGAATCCTGCGGGTCACTGAGCGAATCTCAGCGCGGAGAGTCCACGGCGTCCGAGGAGCGACAAAAAGTGCCGAACGCGTCATCAAACTCCCATTTAACCCGAATCAAGGAGGTCCCGGTCCGGACCGGGGGTTCGGTCACCGTTTTTCGGCTGGTTTTCTTGGGTTGTTTTTTACTTAGAACCGAGTGGACGCCGAGCCGAAGGACTGTCCATGTCCGAGTCGAGCGGCGCTGTCCGAACTCCGGAGCGAAAAGTTCCGAAAACAACGAGTTTGTGAGTCCAGAAGAGAAAAAAAAGTCCTGGTTTCGGGACTTGAGCGACCAGGTCCCGGTCCGTCTGGCCCCGTAGTTCGGTCTGACTGCGAGTAGTGAGAGGCTAGCTTGGCGCTAGCTCCCGCCTCCCTCTCTCTCCCTCTCTCTCTCTCTCTCTCGCGCTCCCTCCTCCCCCTCTCTCACGCCCCTCCCCCCGCAGTGTTTGTCTGTCACTCATTGAATCCCAGCCAGGAATGTGAGTGACTCTGCAGGCCGGGCTCTTCCAGGAACGAGCTGTCCCCCCTCCCCGCACTCACCAAACAAACACAGCGCGCATGCGCACACAGCCAGGGAACAGGGATAATGCTGCGTTCAAGTGCAGTGGGAGAAAAAGTTAAATACTTTGATTTTTGTAATTAGTGTAGTTTGTTACATTTTAATTACATGTATTTTTATAAATATACATTATTTAAATTATTTTATTTATTAGATACAGATTGTGTAAATTGATATTAGATCGATTTATTATAGATTTTAACAATAAAACTGAACTTTTTTGTTTCTTTTATGTTATTTGCTTTTTTATTTAATTTGCCTTTTATACATTTATACATAAAATGTATATGAACTGGAAGGATGGTGGGATGCTTATTTTTATTTATTTTGTAGATTATTTTATTTTTTTCATTATAGTTTTATGTTTGTTTTATTAAAATCAGGTTTCAGATTCTAAAATATGCAACAACAAAATATATTTATCAGTTTTTAGGAAAAAAATGAGAAGACGGATCATTTGTGAGTTTTTTAATCTCCTCGTCTGTTTACAGTTTATTTGTTTTCCTTCTCTTAAATTCAGTGGGAACGATTTGAAAGACGATGCTCTTGTCAAATGTTGTTATTTTATTTTTATTTTTCCTGTACTCTTGATAAACAGTGTTAAAACTTTTATGGTTTGGTAAACTGTTTTTCTCCTTTAAAAACATTTACTTTATATAAACGTGTTAGCAGATGAAACACAGCTTGTTCAGGATGAAGGAAATCATTTTATCAACACTAAATAATAAACAGTTTTGTGTTTTCTGATCCAGAGCTGTTTGGATGTTTGCTGCTCCTGCAGCGCCCCCTACTCAAACACAGCTGAAACTGCAGCCTCACACAGAGGTCGTGACCTTTCATTTCAGCTGAACTTTTCAAACAAAACTGAAGCTAGAGTTCTTCTGGAAGCAGAGGAAAACAAAACAAGTGTGAAAATAAAACAAGAAAAACTTTAAATTAAAGATGAAGGAGGCTTTGAGCACAGAATGACTGCTGAAATCTGCTGAAGAAGCTAAAGCTGAGCTTCTGATGCAAAAAAGCACAGAATGACTCAGAATTCTGCTAAAATGAGCAGAACACAAGCAAAAAGCTCAAAAATACAAGCTAAAACAAGCAGAAGAGGCTAAAATGAACTGAACATAAGCTAAAATTAGCTAAAGGTAAGCTAACATCAGCAGAATTGATAATAAATGAACAGAACACAAGCTAAAATTAGCAAAACACAAGCTAACATCAACAAAACAGATACTAAAATGAGCCGAACACAAGCTAAGTTAGCAAAACACTAGTTAAATTAGCAGAACAGATGCTAAAATGAACAGAACACAAGCTTAAGTGAACAAAACAAAAGCTAAAATGTGCAAAACGCAAGCTAAAAGCACCAAAAAACAAGCGAAGAGGAGCAAAACACAAGCTAAAATGAACTGAACAAAAGCTGAAAACAGTTAAACACAATCTATAATTTACAAAACACAAGCTTAAAACAACTAAACACAAGCTAAACTGTGCAAAATGCAAGCTAAAATCACCAAAAAACAAGCGAAGAGGAGCAAAACACAAGCTAAAATCAGAAAACTGTAGTAAACGCTCAAATTAGTAAAATATTAGCTAAAAGCTAAACTCAGCTAAATTGTAGCTAAATGATAAAATTAATAATTCAATGGCTAAAATAC